GATTCAACAAGGTTGAAATGAAGGAGAAAATACTAAGGGCAGCCAGAGAGAAAGGTCGGGTCACCCACAAAGGGAAGCCCATCAGACTCACAGCAGATCTCTCGGCAGAAACACTACAAGCCAGAAGAGAGTGGGGGCCAATATTCAACATTCTTAAAGAAAAGAACTTTCAACCCAGAATTTCACATCCAGCCAAACTGAGCTTCATAAGTGAAGGAAAAATAAAATCCTTCGTGAACAAGCAAGTACTCAGAGATTTTGTCACCACCAGGCCTGCTTTACAAGAGCTCCTGAAAGAGGCACTACACATAGAAAGGAACAACCAGTACCAGCCATTACAAAATCACACTAAATGCTAAAGAGCATCAACATAATGAAGAATCTACAACAACTAACAGGCAAAACAGCCACTTAGCATCAAAATGGCAGTATCAAATTCACACATAACCATATTAACCCTAAATGTAAATGGACTAAATGCACCAATCAAAAGACACAGACTGGCAAATTGGATAAAAATCCAAAACCCATCAGTGTGCTGTATTCCGGAAACCCATCTCACATGCAAGGATACACAAAGACTCAAAATAAAGGGATGGAGGAAGATTTACCAAGCAAATGGAGAGCAAAAAAAAGCAGGAGTTGCAATTCTCATCTCCGATAAAATAGACTTTAAAGCAACAAAGATCAAAAGAGACAAAGAAGGCCATTACATAATGGTAAAAGGATCGATACAACAAGAAGAGCTAACGATCCTAAACATATATGGACCCAATACAGGAGCACCCAGATACATAAGGCAAGTTCTTAATGACCTACAAAGAGACTTAGACTCCCACACAATAATAGTGGGAGACTTTAACACTCCACTGTCAATATTAGACAGATCAACCAGACAGAAAATCAACAAGGATATCCAGGACTTGAACTCAGACCTGGAGCAAGCAAACCTGATAGACATTTACAGAACTCTCCACCCCAAATCCACAGAATATACATTCTCAGCACCACATCACACCTACTCTAAAATTGACCACATAATTGGAAGTAAAGCACTGCTCAGCAAATGCAAAACAACTGAAATCATAACAAACAGCCTCTCAGACCATAGTGCAATCAAGTTAGAACTCAGAATTCAGAAACCAACCCAGAACCGCACAGCTTCATGGAAACTGAACAACTGGCTCTTGAATGTTGACTGGGTAAACAATGAAATGAAGGCAGAAATAAAGAAGTTCTTCGAAACTAATGAGAACGAAGACACAACATGCCAGAATCTCTGGGACACATTTAAAGCAGTCTCTAGAGGAAAGTATATAGCAATAAGTGCCCATATGAGGAGAATGGAGAGATCCAAAATTGACATCCTATCGTCAAAATTGAAAGAGCTAGAGGAGCAAGATCAAAAAAACTCAAAACCCAGCAGGAGACAAGAAATAACTAAGATCAGAGCTGAACTGAAGGAGATTGAGACACGACAAACCCTTCAAAAAATCAATAAATCCAAGAGCTGGTTTTTTTGAAAAGATCAACAAAATAGACAGACCACTAGCCAGATTGATTAAAAATAAAAGAGAGAACAACCAAATAGATGCAATAAAAAATGATAAAGGGGAAATCACCACAGACTCCACAGAAATTCAAACCATCATCAGAGAATATTACAAACAACTCTATGCACATAAACTAGTAAACCTGGAAGAAATGGATAAATTCCTGGACTCCTGCGTCCTCCCAAGCCTAAACCCGGAGGAAGCTGAAACTATGAATAGACCAATAACAAGGTCAGAAGTCGAGGCAGCAATTAAGAGCCTACCACACAAAAAAAGCCCAGGTCCAGATGGGTTCACAGCCGAATTCTACCAGACACACAAAGAGGAGCTGGTACCATTCCTTCTAAAACTATTCCAAATAATCCAAAAAGAGGGAATTCTTCCCAAATTATTTTATGAGACCAACATCATCCTGATACCAAAACCCAGCAGAGACCCAACAAGAAAAGAAAACTTCCGGCCAATATCCATGATGAACATAGATGCAAAGATCTTCAATAAAATATTGGCAAGCCAAATGCAACAGCAAATCAAAAAACTTATTCATCATGATCAAGTAGGATTCATCCCGGGGATGCAAGGCTGGTTCAACATACGCAAGTCTATAAACGTAATTCACCACATAAACAGAACCAAAAACAAAAACCACATGATTATCTCAATTGACGCAGAGAAGGCATTTGACAAAATACAACAGCCCTTTATGCTAAAAACCCTCAATAAACTCGGTATCGATGGAATGTATCTCAAAGTAATAAAAGCTATTTATGACAAACCAACAGCCAATATCATACTGAATGGGCAAAAACTGGAAGCATTCCCTTTGAAATCCGGCACTAGACAAGGATGCCCTCTCTCACCACTCCTATTCAATATAGTACTGGAAGTTCTAGCCACAGCAATCAGGCAAGAAAAAGAAATAAAGGGTATTCAAATAGGAAAGGTGGAAGCCAAATTGTCTCTATTTGTAGACGACATGATAGTATACCTAGAAGACCCCACCGCCTCAGCCCAAAAACTCCTGAAACTAATAAGCAATTTCAGCAAAGTCTCAGGATATAAAATCAATGTGCAAAAATCACAAGCATTCGTCTACACCAATAACAGACTTAAAGAAAGCCAAATCAAGAACAAACTGCCATTCACAATTGCTACAAAAAGAATAAAATACCTTGGAATGCAACTCACAAGGAACGTAAGAGACCTCTTCAAGGAGAACTACAAGCCACTGCTCAATGAAATCAGAGAGGACACAAACAGATGGAGAAACATTCCATGTTCATGGTTAGGAAGAATTAATATCATGAAAATGGCTATACTGCCCAAAGTAATTTACAGAATCAACGCTATCCCCATCAAGCTACCATTGACTTTCTTCACAGAACTGGAAAAAACCACCATGAACTTCATATGGAACCAAAAGAGAGCCCGCATAGCCAAATCAATTCTAAGCAAAAAGAACACAGCGGGGGGCATCACACTACCGGATTTCAAACTATACTACAAGGCTACAGTAATCAAAACAGCATGGTACTGGTACCAAAACAGAGATATAGACCAATGGAACAAAACAGAGGCACTGGAGGCAACACAACATATCTACAACTATACAATCTTTGATAAACCTGACAAAAACAAGCAATGGGGAAAGGATTCCCTGTTTAACAAATGGTGTTGGGAAAACTGGCTAGCCATGTGCGGAAAGCAGAAACTGGACCCCTTTCTGACACCTTACACTAAAATTAACTCCAGATGGATTAAAGACTTAAACATAAGACCTGGCACCATAAAAACCCTAGAAGGAAATCTAGGCAAAACGATCCAGGACATAGGAGTAGGCAAGGACTTCATGAACAAAACACCAAAAGCATTGGCAACAAAAGCCAAAATAGACAAATGGGACCTAATGAAACTCCACAGCTTCTGCACGGCAAAAGAAACAGTCACTAGAGTGGATCGGCAACCAACAGAATGGGAAAAAATTTTTGCAGTTTACCCATCTGACAAAGGGCTGATATCCAGAATTTATAAAGAACTCAAACAGATTTACAAGAAAAAAACAAACAAGCCCATTCAAAAGTGGGCAAAGGATATGAACACTTTACGAAAGAAGACATATATGAGGCCAACAATCATATGAAAAAATGCTCATCATCACTGGTCATCAGAGAGATGCAAATCAAAACCACACTGAGATACCATCTCACGCCAGTTAGAATGGCGATCATTAAAAAAGCTGGAGACAACAGATGCTGGAGAGGATGTGGAGAAAAAGGAACACTTTTGCACTGTTGGTGGGAGTGTAAATTAGTTCAACCATTGTGGAAGACGGTGTGGCGATTCCTCAAGGCCTTAGAAATAGAAATTCCATTTGACCCAGCAATCCCATTACTGGGTATATACCCAAAGGACTATAAATCATTCTACTATAAGGACACATGCACACGAATGTTTATTGCAGCACTGTTTACAATAGCAAAGACCTGGAATCAACCCAAATGCCCATTGATGATAGACTGGATTGGGAAAATGTGGCACATATACACCATGGAATATTATGCAGCAATCAGAAATGAGGAGTTCATGTCGTTTGTAGGGACATGGATGAATCTGGAGAACATCATTCTCAGCAAACTGACACAAGAACAGAAAATGAAACACCGTATATTCTCACTCATAGGCGGGTGATGAAAAATGAGAACACATGGACACAGAGAGGGGAGTACTAAACACAGGGGTCTATTGGGGGGAAAAGGAGAGGGCCAGTGGGAGGGGGAGGGGGGGAGGGATAGCCTGGGGAGAAATGCCAAATGTGGGTGAAGGGGTGAAAGCAAACAGAACACACTGCCATGTGTGTACCTATGCAACTGTATTGCATGCTCTGCACATGTGCCCCAAAACCTAAAATGCAATAAAAAAATAAGAAAAAAAAAAAAAAAGAATTATATCTCAATAAAGCTATTTTTTTTTTTTTCGGTATTTTTTTTTATTGCATTTTAGGTTTTTGGGTACATGTGAAGAACATGCAGGATTGTTGCATAGCTACACACATGGCAATCTGATTTGCTGCCTTCCTCCCCTTCACCTATATCTGGCATTTCTCCCCATGCTATCTCTCCCCAACTCCCCACCCCCGCGATGTCCCTCCCCTATTTCCCCACAACAGATCCCAGTGTGTGATGAATAAAGCTGTAATTTTAAAAATAACAAGTGAACTCTGGGGCCTTAAAATGTTATATAAACATTTTATTAGGCTTTACTGAGATAATCATAGATAGGTCGATCTACCAAAATAGGTTTTCATTATTTCATTATTTTAAAAGTTACAAGTGAATCTTGAAGTTAAAAATCTTATATAAATTTTTTATTAAGCTTTACTTAGATAATCATAGATAGGTTGATCTACCAAGATAGGTTTTCATGATTTCCCACTCACACTATATATACCTTGGGTATTCGTCAAAAGCATTCTTCCTAGATCCACAACAACTAACACAGGATTCTTGAATTTGAAATCATCAGGAAATATCACCTGAGGGGCAGAAATATCCAGTCGCACTGTCCATCGTTTACTCTCCTCCTGTAAAAGTAAATTAGCCATTAACCATAACTGCCGAAACCCAACAGCTGTAACCGTGGTGCTCAAGCGTTTCTGGAAGCAACAGCTAGGATTATGGAGTGACGTAGGGGTCTACTGTATTACAGCAAAAAGTCGAAGACAAAAGTAGATGCAAATGCTTAAGGACCTGAGAAATTACCACAGGCAAATGTCTGAACAGGGGAGAAAAAAAAACAGCAAATAACTAAATAGGGGGAGAGTCTGTACTTAAGAAAGATGTTGTTTCTAATTTACAGGGTTTAATACTTTAAAGGACTGCAGAAATTATGAAATTGAAATAAACATTTTTACTTACTGGGGGCATTGGTCATCATGAACTTTCATGTCAAAATATCTTAGTGAAAAACAAGCTTTGACATTTGAAATATAAATTACATACCAATTCATGATTTGTTCATTGTTCTTCCCTCCAACCAAAATCAGCCTCAGCTGTATGTATGTGGCAAAAGCTAATTTATGTTACCAAAAAGAAACCTCCTTTGTTTATGATACTAATTGTCATACTTTATTTAGAAACATACACACACATATATACACACACACCCCAAAACAAAAAACAGAACTAATTCTCCATCCCATACTACACACCCCATTTTACTTGGATGATTTCTGCCATCCCTGACACCTATGACTTACTCTGCACTGCCCAAAAGAAGCCACACTTTTTCTCACTGTGCCACCTGATGCTGTATTGCAGGAGTGTACCTCCATGCCACCTTAGAAACTGTACTTTACTGGACTGTTCTGTTTTCCTGAAACAAGGTCTCACTCTGTTGCCCAGGCTAGAGTGCAGATCATAGCTCACTGTACCCTCCAGTTCCTAGGCTCAAGCAATCCTCCCACCTCAGCTTCCTGAACAGCTGGGACGACAGGTATGTGCTACCAGATCCAGCTAATTTTTTATTTTTTGTAGAGACAGGGTCTCACTATGTTGCCCACTCCCAAACTCCTGAGCTCAAATGATCCTCCCACATCAGCATCCCAAAGTGCTGGGATTGGGCCACCTCACCCAGCCTACCTAGTGGACCCTGAAGATGTCTCTTAGCTCTCCCTATCTATGGCATCTTCATGATCCCTGGTCATTTGGCATCACAAAGTGCCTATCATCACACCCTAGAAACTCTCACGTGAAAAACACATAAAGTATCAGGTCTGGAAAAGAAAACAAAGACGAGTCTTTTTTTTTTCTTTTTGAGAAGGAGTCTTGCTCTGTTTCACTGGTTGGAGTGCAGTGGAGCAATTTCAACACACTACAACCTCCACCTCTCAGATTCAAGTGATTCCCCTGCCTCAGCCTCCTGAGTAGCTGAGATTACAGGGACCCACCACCATGCCTGGCTAATTCTTGTATTTTTAGTAGAGATGTGGGTTTTACCAGGTTGGCCAGGCCAGTCTTGAACTCCTGACCTCAAGTGATCTGCCTCCTTTGGCCTCCCAAAGTGTTGGGATTACAGGTATGAGCCACCGCACCCAGCCCAAAGATGAGTCTTGAAAGTAACCTCAATCTGGTCCAAGAAGACACAGAATCTAGTCATATTCATTCATTTTATTAGCTAAACCCTGACTATAAAAGACACAAGGCCGGGTGAGATGGCTTAAGCCTGTTATCCCAGCACTTGGGAAGCTGAGGCAGGCAGATCACAAGTTCAAGGGTTCAAGACCAGCCTGGCCAATATGGTGAAACCCTGCCTCTACTAAAACTACAAAAGTTAGCCGGGTGTGGTGCATCAGTAGTCCCAGCTACTTGGGAGTCTGAGGTAGGAGCATCGCTTGAACCTGGGAGGCAGAGGTTGCAGTGAGCCAAGATCATGCCACTGCACTCCAGACTGGGAGATGGAGCAAGACTCCATCTAAAAAAAAAAAAAAAAAACCACACAAGATTTTATTTTATTTTATGCTGGCTGATAAGAATTTAATATTTTCAGTTTATTCAATCACCATAACTGATACAAGTAAGCTTATCTACAGTAGGTAGTGACTTGATGGAAAGAATTTCTGCCCCTTCTGCAGTCCCCAAAAAGTGTTCATGGATGCCCACTTACAATGAAATCACCCACTAGCAAACGATCAAGAGTTTGCCGGATTTCTGCCTTGGTCTGCATCTTCAGCTTGTTATATTGTCTTCGGGCAGCTTCAGCCACTCTCAACTCAAGTTCAGACTGATAACCAAAACCTGCAAGGTGGGAAATATACAAGAGAGTCAGAATTTTCACACAGCTGGATGAACAAAAGTGCAACATCAATTTTCACCAAGAATTTCCATCAAAGCTTAAAAAAAAATCAGGTTGGACATGGTGGCTCACACTCATAATCCCAGCACTTTGGGAGGCCAAAGTAAGAGAATCATCTGAGCTCCACCATGCCTAACTAATTTTTTTTTTTTTTAGTAGAGATGAGGTCTCACTGCAGGCTGGTCTCAAACTCCTGGGCTCAAGCAATTTGACCTTGGCCTCTCAAAGCTCTAGGATTACAGGTGTGAGCCACTGTGCCTGGCCACTTTCTATATTCTATCATTAACAAAGCAATGAGGTCACAGCATTTACGACTACTGTTTACACGAAGAGACTAAAAAACTAGTCCAAAAACTAGAATAGCTTCATTGTAATAAAGGGGGAAGAGATATTTAGGAGAATACTATTGTTTTATAAATCTCCCTATCCATAAGAAATACTTTTTCTGCACCTACTGTTTCAAATCTTTTGGGGGAACAAAGGGAGGCATAAATAAATCAATGATGACATCTATAACTTTGCAGTATTTAATGCTGCACCAAAGAAGTCAAAGAGACCACTGATCCTGTCACCTAGAAGGAAATTCTTGAACATTCCTCCTCAGTTCACTGGTCTAAAATATCCTGGTAGCCAAGGAAACCACTGTCCTAGTGAAATGAAAAGGATGGAGATCATCGCTTTTCAGTTCCAGGATACAGATTTCCAGTTATAATGCTGGCTGAAAATACAGCAGTAGTTAAATCAAATCATGAAACTATTTTATCCCTGCAGTACCTTCATCTATTTTTATAAGAATGTTTTGTAGTCGAGAAATCTAAAAGAGATGCAAACTCCCCCATACAATAGAATTGTATGCCTTTCAATGACTCTTGGTAATTCTATTACCAAGTAATACTATTTTATTGCCTTTCAATTACTCTTGGTAATTTTTTTTTTTCTTTTGAGACAGAGTTTTGCTCTTGTTGCCCAGGCTAGAGTGCAATGGCACAATCTCAGCTCACTGTAACCTCCGCCTCCCTGGCTCAAGCAATTCTCCTGCCTCAGCCTCCTGAGTAGCTGAAATTACAGGCATGTGCTACCACCCCCAGCTAATTTTGTATTTTTAGTAGAGATGGGGTTTCTCCATGTTGGTTAGGCTGGTCTCAAACACCTGACCTCATGTGATCCACCCATCTTGGCCTCCCAAAGTGCTGGGATTACAGGCATGAGCCACCTCACCCAGCTGGTAATATTTTAAGACAGGTGCTAATTCAAAGGTAGTGGCTTTCAAAAAGTACAACTGCTATTCTTTGGTGCCATTATTCAGAATGATAATATAAAATAAAAATGGGGGGTGAAAAGGAATGAAAAGTATGAAAAAATGCATGCTAAATGGAGGCAAACAAAGAGAATATATTTAAGGATATAGATTTCTCTTGGAAAAGACTGTCCACAAACCTCTACCCTGATTTAGTAACAGGACAGGGCAACCCTATCGACCTACTCTGCCGGCCTTTTCTGTCACTATCAGATCATTTGAATGTGTAATAACCCTTGTCCTGAACACCAGAACTAACAGTAAAGATGTTTTTAAAAAAGAACATAAGATCAAACAAACAAAAAAGTTAACCTGAGGTATGAACCTTTCCCTTGTAGAAAAAGTCCGCCACTTTTTTAATGGCCTGGGGATTGTATATGATGTTCAAGGGCCTTGTGCTGACATCGAGCCGCCTCTCAAAGTGGCTATGTGCTGGATTTCTCTCATACAGCATCTCAAAAACTGGGTCATCTGGGTCTGCAGCTAAAGGAAAGAATAGAAATAAGAACATGGAACAAAGCAAAAACAATAACCTTATTCTTAATAGACCTGTGAGGAATTCTGGAAAAGAAGACATTTTCTAAATTATTTTCCAATTAGTTCATATATATGCCTATCTTTAAAATAGAAAGCCTAATAAGGATTGACTGTTTAATTTTCCACTGGAATCATGTAGACTGGTCTGTTGTATTAGCTCCCACATCATGGAAACCAAGAATCGGAAGGCCCTGCAAAGTTTCCCAGTTAGCCCCAGGTTTGCAGCTCCACTGAGAAGACCAGGCTGTCTCCAAGTCAAATCCGGGTCCACACAGCAAACCACCGTGCACAAAACAGAAAATATCCCTCTTTTACTACTGATTAAAGACTATTGATCTTGTTTTGCTGGAAGCCCACCAAAAAAGAATTTTTTAATTAAATTTAAAAAAAAAAAAAAAAAAAAAAAGGTCAGGCATGGTGGCTCACACCTGTAATCCCAGCACTTTGGGAGACCCAGGAGGGTGGAGAGCTTGAACTCAGGAGTTCAAGACCAGCCTGGACAACATGGCAAAACCCCATCTTTACTAAATATACTAAAATTATCCAGACATGGTGGCACATGCCTGTAATCTGGCTAAGGCATGAGAATCACTGAAACCCAGGAAACGGAGGTTGCAATGAGCCTAGATCATGCCACTGCACTCTAGCCTAGGCAACAGAGCAAGACCCCATCTCAAAAAAAAATTATTTCAAAAAATTCTTAAATTAAAAACAAAAAACAGCATAGGACAAAATACCTGGGTAATGATCACTTCTGTCTGCAGATGTAGTCTGTAGACCAAAAGATTGTGAGACTCTGCCAACTTCTTTTTGCTATTAAACAAACACACAAGAATGCATAAATGTCAGGGTGAGACAATTCACTAAACACACCCATCTTACCCGTTAGCATCACAGCCCATTAGCATAATAAAATCAAAACTCACTTCACAGCAGATTGAGTACTTGCAGAATTGTTTACTTTTCTGCCCTTTTCCCAATCTAGTGAGACCACATCTTTTCCTTTGTACTAACAATATGCTACTTTGTACTCAGCACATTTAATGAACAGTTGCTAAATGAAAATTAAACATGTCTAAGTTTTCAAACTTTAAGTCTGCCTTCCCACTCTCTCTACAACCTTCCCCCAACCAAAACAAAACTATGGACAGAGTAAGAGGTCAACTATTTAACCATTTGGACAGTATGTTGCCAATTTAAGATCAAAGACCTTATCGTTAATAATGTATATTATATGTTTAAAATGACATATATACAGAAAACTTGAGATGTGGCTGTTTTGAACCCTGGCAAGATGATATTTCATGTCAGTGACTAATGGTCAGAAGGCATGAAAGTGACTGTCAGATACAGAAGAAACCCAAACACTGACCTTGAAAATAGTGGTCTTATAGCATTTTCTTCCAAATCATAGCAAAATATACTATGGTGGCTATAATGCAGGAGTGCAAGAAGGCATAGCCATAAATCTCACGAACATTTTCCCTTTAACAAATATAAAAAAACTTATCTAATCCCAGCCCAACAGTCTCAAGATGATCAAGTGTCAGAATGAATCAGGTATCATTTGCCTCCTAAAATAGACAACAATTTACCAGCACCTTAGATACATTAACTACCCCATTGTTGTACATACTGGATTAGGGAAGACTAGAAGAGGAAACATAGTTCCTTCTGTAGCCAAGTCTCGAAGAAACAGTCCACCCAACCGGACTGAAAGCAAAGAGGAATTTCTTCGAGGAAGAGACTCTGCTAGAAGTTTTACATCTGTCAAAGACAAATAAAATAGTAGATTCAATGCTTATGAGAGCCTAATGTGTTTTTAAAAGTATTTCGATTTTACAGAGGATTATTAGAGATGATGAACTATTTTTCCTTGCAATTAAACAAACAAACCCTATCTATCTACAGGCACATCTTGGAGATACTGGCTCCAGACCACTGCAATAAAGCAAGGATCACAAAAAAGTGATTTGCACAAATTCCTTGGTTTCCCAGTGCATAGAAAAGGTATGTTTACACTATACAGTAGTCCACTGAGTGTGCAATAGCATTATGCCTAAAATACAATGTAGATCCCTTAATTTTAAAATATTTTATTGATAGGAAGTGCTAACAATCCTGTGAACCTTCAGCGAGGTGTAATCTTTTTGCAGATGGAAGGTCTTGCCTATATGGTGATGGCTGCTGACTGACCAGGATGTGGCTATGAAGTGTTGAGGTGACTGTGGTGATTTCTTAAAATAAGATGACAAAGTTTGCTCCATCAACTGACTATTCTTTCACAGAAGATTTCTCTGTAGCAGGTGATGCTGTTTGATAAAGCATGCATTTAACCACAGTAGAACTTCTTTCAAAATTACATCAATCCTCTCAAACCCTGCCATTACTAGCTAAGTTTATTTGGTATCCTAAAAACTTTGTTGGTGTTGTTTTTTCTTATTTTTTTGAGACAGAATCTCACTTTGTCACCCAGGCTGGAGTGCAGTTGTGCAATTACAGCTCACTGTAACTTCAAAGTCCTGAACTCAAGGGATCCTCCTACCTCAGAAGGAGCTAGGACTACAGGTGCATGCCACCACAACCAACTAATATTTTTTTATTTTCAGTAGAGACAGGGTCTTGCTATGTTGTGCAGCCTGGTCGTGAGCTCCTGGCCTGAAATGATCCTCCTGCCGTGGCCTCCCAAAGTGCTGGGATTACAGGCGTGAGCCCCACACCCAGCCCTTGGTTTTTATTTCAACAATGTTCACAGTATCTTCACCAGAAGTAGATTCCATCTCAAGAAACCACCTTCTTTGCTCATCCATAAGAAATAACTCTTCATCCATTCATGTTTGATCATGAGATTACAGCAATTTAGTCACATCTTCAGGTTCCACTTCTAATTCTAGTTCTCTGCCATTTACCCCACATTTGCAGTTACTTCCTGCACTTAAGTCTTGAACCCCTCAAAGTCATCCAAGAGGGTTGATTTCATCGAAACTCCTGTTAATGTTGATATTTTGACCTCCTTCCATGAATTACAAATGTTCTTCATGGCATCTAGAATGGTGAATCCTTTCCAGAAGCTTTTCTGTATACTTATACCCAGGTTCATCAGAGGAATCACTGTTTATGGCAGCTACAGCCTACAAAATGTATTTCTTAAATAATAAAAGTTGAGGCCAGGAGTGGTGACTCACACCTGCAATCCCAGCACTTTGGGAGGCTAAAGTGGGAGGATCATTTGAGGCCAGGACTTTGAGACCACACTGGCAAATGAAGTGAGATCTCATCTCTATTTAAATAATTCATTAAATTAAAGAAACAAACAAACTTGAAAGTTGAAATTACTCCTGGATCCACTGGCTGCAGAATAGATGCTGTGGTAGCAGGCATGAAAACAACACTGGTTTATTTACACTTCTCCAGCAGAGCTCTTGGGTAACTGGATGCATTATCCATGAACAGTAATATTTTGAAAGGAATCTTTTTTTCTGAGCAGTAGGTTTCAATAATGGCCTTTAAATATCCAGTAAACCATGCTGTAAACAGATGTGCTGTCATCATCCAAGCTTTGCTGCTCCACTGATAGACCATAAGCAGAAGAGACTGAGCATAATTCTTAAGGGCCCTAGGATTTTCAGAAAGGTAAATCATCAACTTCAAGTCACCAGCTGCACTGGCTCCTAACAAGAGAGTCAGTCTGTCCTCTGAAGCTCTGAAGCCAGGCATTGACTTCTCTTCTCTAGCTATGAAAGTCCTAGATGGCGTCTTCTTCCAACAGAAGGCTTTTTCATCTACAGTGAAATCTGTCATTTGGTATGGCAAGGATTGTAGCTGAATCTTCTAGATAACTTGCTGCAGCTTCCTCATCAGCACTTGCTGCTTCATCTTGCACTTTTATGTTCATGTTGTGGAGATGGGCTCTTTCCTTCAAACTCATGAACCAACCTCTGCTAGTTTCAAACTTTCCTTCTGCAGTTTCCTCACCTCTCTCAGCCTTTCCAGAACTGAAGAGAGGTAAGGCCTTGCTGTGCATTAGGCTTTGGCTTAAGGGAATGCTGTGGCTGCTTTGTTCTTCTATGCAGACCATTCAAACTTCCTCCATCACAGCAGTAAGGCTGTTTCACTTTCTGATCATTAGTGTGTTTGCTGGAGTAGCACCTTTATTAATAATTTCCTTCAAGAACTTTTCCTTTGCATTCACAAGTTGGCTGTTTGGCACAAGTGGCCTACCTTTAGGCCTATCTCAGCTTTTGACATGTCTTCCTCACTAAGATTAATCAAGTTTAACTTTCGATTTAAAGTGAGAGATGTGTGACTCTTCCTTTTGCCTGAACATTTAGAGGCTAATGTAGAGTTTTAGTCAAATTTCAATATTGTGTGTTTCAGGTAAAAGGGAGGCCCAAGGAGAGGAAATGGCCAGTCAGTGGAACAGCTGGAACATAAACAGTATTTACTAAGTTAGCCATCTTCTACGACCATGGTTCATGGCACTCCAAAACAAATACAATAATAACATTAAAAACCAGTGATTATATTATAGATCACCATAACAGATAATAATAGAAAAGTTTAAAATATCGGGAAAATTACCAAAATAGAGAACACAGAGACATAAAGTGAGCACATGATTTTGGAAAAATGACACCTATAGACTTGCTCATTTTTAAATCTTCAATTTGTAAAAAATGCAGTATCTGTAAAGTGCAATAAAGTACAATAAAATGAAGTGTGCCTGTATGTATCTATCTATCTATCTAAACATACAAAGACTATTATTAGAAGTTTCCCAACAGAATGAATATTAAATAGAGCCTTTTCAATTCAGTTCAAGCAATCTGTTAATACTAAGTTTAGTTAATACTAAGTTTATGACAGCTCAATTTTCTATATAATGAAGTCAAACAAACTGGCCCTTTAAAAAAATAATTTGTCCTTCTTCAACTACTGAGGAATCTCAAATAAGCTGCTGTTTCATGGCCTGAAATAATATATGTGAGATGTCCAAACCAACAGCTGCATATTTATTTACACACCTTTAATTCAAAGTCACCAAAAGAAGGCAGATACTGTCCAGTGAATCTTCATTATTCTCAGATTCCATATTTGCACATTTGCTTATTCGCTAAAATTTGCAACCCCAAAATTAATCCTCATGGTACTTTGTCAGTCATTCAGACACTCACAGAGCAGAAAAAAATTCAAGCCACCTAAGGTGCACATTCCCACCTGAGTTCAAACAAGGCAACGCTCTGCCTCCTCGTTTCAGCTCTCACACTGTGAGCAAGCAAGCATCCTTCCCATGGTCTTCTATCTAGAGCCATGCTTTTCACGCTTCTGGGCTTTTTGTTTATAGTTTCACTGTTTAAAACAATCCCCTAGTGCTAAAGTGCTATCTAGTAGTCCTGAGTGCAAGAAGACTGCGATATGCATTACAAAAAAAAACTGGTATTAGAGAAACTTCCTCCAGGCCTGAGTCATAGTGCTGCAGGCCATGAGTTCAATATTAATAAATCAATAATACAATGCTCGTCAACTTAGGATGGAGTTATGATAAACCCACCATAAGCTGAAAATATAAGTCAGCTGGGCGCAGTGGCTCATGCCTATAATCCCAGTAATTCGGGAAGCCGAGGCAGGCAGACTGCTTGAGGTCAGGAGTTCAAGATCAGCCTGGTCAACATGGGCAAACCTTGTTTCTACTAAAAACACAAAAATTAGCCAGGCATGGTGGTGGGCATCTGTAGTCCCAGCTACTCAGGAGGCTGAGGCAGGAGAATCACTTGAACCCAAGAGGAAGAGGGTGTAGTGAGCTGAGATCATGCCACTGCACAGCTCACGTCACTGCACTCCAGCCTAGGTGACAAAACAAGACTTTGTCTCAAAAAAGAAGAAAAAAAGAAAATATCCTAAGTCAAAAATGCATTTCATACACCTAACCTACTGGACATCATAGCTTGGCCTAGCCCACCTTAAAAGTGCTCAGAATGCTTACATTAGCCTACAGGTAAGCAAAATCATCTGGCATGACAGTCCCTATATACTATCAGCTGCTTGCCTCATGATCACAATGGCTGACAGGGAGCTGTGGTTCACTGTTGCTGCCCAGCATCTTCAGAGAATATCATACTACCTATCTCTAGCCTAGGAAAAGACCAAAATTGAAAATCCAAACTATGGCTTCTATTGAATGCGTAGAACTTTCATGCCATTTGTAAAGTCAAAAAATCCTAAGACAAACTATCCTAAGTAGAGGACTGTCTGTACATCTATATTAAATAAGATGTCTTTAAATACAGAAACACATTTTAAAAGTAAGATGATGTATTGATCAGTTGATGAATGTTATGGCCAGAGGGTCACATGAACCTAACCCAGTACTTCCCCGAAAAGCAATAGTTCCACATTAGCTGACGGAGTTTTTGCACTGACTTTCTAGACTATCACTACAGCAAATAATGAGAACCAACTGGACATGGGCCCACAGAGAGACAAACAGCAGCAGGTAGTTTTTTGGGGGCAGTGTACCTGAAAACTCGAGCTGCATGAAAGCGCTTTCATTCATTTGAGGAGTTCCCTGTTCCTTGTGTAACAGAGTCACTGTACCCCGCTGCAACTGCAAATTCAGTTTGGCAAAGACATGATCTCGCTTTGTGTATGTGTTCATACACGAGGCATCAGCAGTGGGGTCAAAAAACTCCTCAGTTCCTAAATAGTAAGGGAGAAAAGACTGTCAGAAAAAATATGGAAGAATAAAAAAGCACCAGCAAGCAGAATGATCACAGTTACGATAATGTGATTTAACTAGTTTCCCTTTCTTAAGGAAGAAGTCCAAAGTCATGGGTGACTATTTTATAATTTCCTAAGGTAAAATGACCCTATTTGTTTTATAAAGGATCTTATCAACTTATATCAAACCAGAAGGATAAGGTTCATGATGAAGAATGGTATAAACAGCGCTGCCTGGTGTGGTGAAATGGTTCACATCTACGATGTCTAGTGCAGTGGCCACTATCCACGCGTGGCTACTGAGCACTCGGGAGTACATGTGGCTAATGTGGCTAGTGCAATTAAAAGAGCAAATTTTTACTTTTATTTAATTTTAATTAAATTCTATTAGCCATTTGTGCCTATGGCTAGATATTAGACACTGCACTGCAGGTTTAAGAGTGGCTCGGGACTGGTATTCAAACTTCTGAGTTTAACATTTTTGAACCTGTTCAAATTTAGTTCTTTTACAATCTCTGCCTTTCAGCTCTATCTGAAACTACATTAATATGTACATTTAGTATCAAGAGTTACAAATGGAGTATCTCCCAAAATACTTCTTCTCTCAGCCTCTATAAACATGAAACAAACTGTTTTCCAAGTATCTACTTTAGTTAAACTTGAAAAGTACCACAAGTTCTTGCACAAATAAGACCAATTTACATGTAGCAAGTGAAGGCCAGCTCCCACCATACCCAGGATCTCCTCGGGAATCCACTGCTCCTGTTGCTCTGCTGACAGTCCCTCGACCACCTTCCCTTCTGGGGTTTGCTGCCCGTACCAGCCACCCCATCCAGGAAACCAGGACTGAAGATAATGCAGCATCCCACTGCCTCCACCAGGTTCTGGGTCTCCCAGAGAGGCTCCCGGAGAATCAAGCTGAGGCTCCCGCAGACTCTGTGTCAATTACAAAGGAGCAAAGATGAGTACTCAAAGATAAAAGTAAGCTGTGATATGCCGCTGGTTCCCCACTGGAGCATGAGCCATCAAAGCTGCAGCACTCAGGCTGTGCTGGGTCTGAACAAGTCCTGTTGTAGAGGATTTCTTACCTCTGCTAGTTCTTCTTGTTTATGAAATCGATCATGAACCAGTTCACGCAAAATCTTCAATTCCTCAAAGCTCTGTTCCTCTTCAATCCGACACATTTCCTCCTGTTTGGGTGAAAATAGAAGCAAACAAAAACAAGACGTTGTAGATCCAGACACTGGACACCCTCACTAGCCACTGAAAGTGTAGCACATGGTTCCCTGCATCTTTTTTTTTTTTTTTTTTTTTTTTTGGAGACAGTCTCACTTTGTCACCCAGGTTGGAGTGCGGTGCCATGATCTCAGCTCACTGCAACCTCCACCTCCCTGGGTTCAAGCAATTCTCCTGCCTCAGCCTCCTGAGTAGGTGGGACTACAGGTGTACGCCACTATGCCCAGCTAATTTATTTAGTATTTTAGTAGAGACAGGGTTTCACCATGTTGCCCAGGCTGGTCTTGAATTCCTGAGCTCAGGTGATCCTCCCGCCTAGGCCGCCCAAAGTGCTGGGATTACAGACATGAGTCACTGCAGCCAGCTCAAAGTCCCCTGCATTTCCACTGAAGGCCAAGAAACAAGATAAATAATTCCAGGAGGCTGAGACAGGAGAACTGCCTGAACCCAGGAGGCGGAGGTTGCGGTGAGCCGAGATCGCGCCATTGCACTCCAGCCTGGGTAACAAGAGCGAAACTTCGTCTCAAAAAATAATAATAATAATAATAATAATAATAATAATAATAATTCCCTGATTGCTGTTTCCGGTTTGGGTCGCTTTTCCATATAATCCAATAGATGTTTTTTAGTCTCAACAACATCACTAACAATTCTCCAGAAATTGAGCTCTATGAAAGAAGGGGGGAAAAAAATCACTAACAACTTGCATGAAATTTGAGACGAATGGTAAATGGAGAGGGAGCAAGGAACAGCATCACTCAGTTTTTAGTCACTAAAGCATATGGACTGTTGCAGCACCCATACTTTGCACAGCACTGACCCTGTTTACAAAGGGCTTCCACATGCATTAGCTCAGATGACAGGTAGGCAGCCTAGTTATTGCTCTTCCTGAAACCTAGGACCAAGTTTCCACAGAAAGTGTGCAGGCCCCAGCTCTCTTACACTTCATGTAGGAAATTAGCAAGAACACGGTCATTTTCACTTGTTTCACCTTATTAGGAAAGAACCATGATATTCAGCTACATTTTTAAAAAGCAGAACTAGCTGTCCTGAACTGCTTCTAACACCGTAACATTAATTTTAAAAAGGAGATTTTACATGTTTACTTGCTCATCTCAGCTGTAAATGAGATTTTTCTCTCCCTCTATGTCTTTGCCTGTGTCTTTAAGAAAATCATCCAAGGGCTGGGCCCAGAAGCTCAGGTCTTTAATCCCAGCACTTCGGGGGGCCAAACAGGCAAATCGCTTGAGCCCAAGAGTTCCAGATCAGCCTGGGCAATACAGCAAAACCCTGTCTCTATAAAAGACACAAAAATTAGCCAGGCATGGTGACACACAGCTACTCAGGAGGCTGAGGTGGGAAGAACCCTTGAGCCAAAGAGGTAGAGGTTGCAGTGAGCCAAGATTGCAACACTGCACTCCAGCCTGGACCACAGAGGGAGATCCTGTCTCAAGAAAAAAAAAAAGTAGGCTGGGGTGATGGAGGTTGCGGCAGGCAGATTTCTTGAGCTCAAACCCCACCTCCCTAAAAAATACGAAAATGTCCAGTTGTGCTGATGCGGGCCTGTAGTCCCAGCTACTTGGAAGGTTGTGGCAGGAGAATAGACTGAGCCCGGTGGCGGGGGAGGGGGGAGGAGGGCGGAGGTTGCAGTAAGCAAGATAACGCAACTGAACAATATTGCCTAGGCAATAGAGCCAGACCTTGTCTCAAAAAAAAAAAAAAAAAGAAAAAGAAAATCATCCAAAATGTCTAGTTTATTTTATCCTTCTTATAAGGTTCCTGTGTCAGTAACCATAACCCTAACAGTGATGATAAAAGCGTTACCAAAGTGAGTGGGTCACGGCCTCAGAGTGCCAGCAGGAGAAGTACGAACAACTAGGAGTCAACATTGCCATCAGTGACCACACAGCGGGTGCTGAAAGGAGAAGTAATATTCCTTTGTGCTTGGAAGAGTCTACTAAACAAATGGTTAGTCAAGGGGCAGTACCTGAGCCAAAATCTTAGAAACAGTCTAAGTTGCTACTGCAAAATCTGATGCTCACAAAACTGAAACAAAACAAGAGGCAAAGCAATCCCCGATACCTTTCCCTAAGAGAGCACGTAGAGAAGGGGTGGGGTCCCAGGACTCCGGGAGGGGGCATTCTAAGGGCCTTTAGCCCTACTAACTAAAACATGAGCTTGCCTTCAGCACCCTTTTCTGCCTAGCCTCTACCACCAAAACATACAAGGTCAATCGAGTTGACTGGGATTACAGAAAACGTAGGCCAAAGTTCACAGAGATTACAGTCTTTGAAGTAAAGGAATTAGGACTGAGATCAGGCTTTGAAGAGAGGTGGGTAACTGCATGAGACAGTCTCTCGAGCTGGGGGCAGGGGTGTGGGCACAAAGGCATAGCAGGATCACGGAGATCTTTTCTTCTTCCTATCCCCTGGTCTGGCTCTCCTCGGGCAAGAGAGGGTGGAGGATGCTCCTGGCTTAGTTCTCACTCTAGTAAGACCAACTCTATCCTGTAAAATTTAACCCCTTTGGCATGGGACTTTATATCTTCACAGATTCCATTTTCTTTAGTCTTTGAGAGAGCATTCTTATCTTCTGAATAAGACAAGAATCACAAGACCACAGTCCACTTACCTTGTCATCTGTGGACAGCAGGCCTCCTTTTAACTTGTTGAAATATTTGTCAGTGTAAGATACAGCATCACGAGCGCGGTGCAACATAAAGTCCCAGGTGCAACGTTTCCTCTGCTCTCTGATCTCATACAAGTTAGCATTCAAAGCAAAATACCACCATTCCCGGCAGCTGAAATAGTCCATAATAATGTTATCACATCTTACAACAAAAGCAACGAAAAGGCTACCAGTCCAGGACAATCCATAAAACCACTCCTCTCCTGAGACATATTTTCTCTTGTCAGCCATCAGTTTATATCCTAAGCTCATCTTAATATTAAACTAAACCCAGGAGGTGGAGAAGGTAAATCTGCCAAAGAACATCAAGTAATAGATCCCCCATTTATATAGCAATAACACAGTTCTCAATCAGTTTGAATTACATTGTATTCAAATTGTATATTGTATATATACAATAACATAGTTATCAATCAGTTTGAATTACAATATCCATCCTGTCCACTGACAGAACGTCAAATCCTGACTGTGAAGTAAATACCATCTTAAGACAATTATCAAGGATTTGACTACTAAAGACTTTTAATTGAATACTTCTAACTCAAGACACGGAAATACATTGGATCTTTAAAAAGTTTTATTATAGCAAAGTGGTCAAGTTTATCACTACAACATGAAAATAAGATTCAGTTTTGCTACGGAGGCTGCAAAGAGTACTATGTAAATGTTGACCAAACAACCCGGGAGAAAAAACACAGGGAAGTGGTTCAAAGAATATTTAAAGTATTTATACTACACACCACATCCCACCAGAGCAACATCAGTCTACTTGCTAAACGAGACTGAGAGGATCTTCTGAATTTCACCACACTCGAAGAGTAAACTGATACCACCAAATAATATACAAAAAGAATATCACTGATCATAAACAACAGGAATGACATTCCAAGGATGGGAAAAATCAATTGTACTTTTATCTCCAAACATGGGTAAAGGACAGTGAGGCATATTTCTGATCTATGTGCAAAATAACAACACACTCTAAAACGTATTTCATGACCACTGAGAAGTCCTTACTTCTTAGATATCGCCACTCTGGGTTTCCACCTTCGGAACTTCACCTGCCTCTCCTTTCGCTCCAGCTCCTTGAGGAATTCCATGATTTGCCGGTATTGCAGCTTTTATTAGAGGTTAAGAGATACTAGGTCAGAATAGGTTTGTTTCTTTTCTTTTCTTTTTTTTGAGACGGAATTTCACTCTTGATGCCCAGGCTGGAGTGCAATGGCACAATCTCGGCTCACCGCAACTTCCGCCTCCTGGGTTCAAGCAATCTTCCTGCCTCAGCCTCCTGAGTAGCTGGGACTATAGGCATGCACCACCATGCCCAGCTAATTTTTGTATTTTTAGTAGAGACGGGGTTTCACCATGTTGGTCAGGTTTGTCTCGAACTCCTGACCTCGTGATCCGCCCGCCTTGGCCTACCAAAGTGCTGGGATTACAGGCATGAGCCACCGCGCCCAGCCATGTCTGCTTCTTTTACTCATATCTATATCTAACAAGAACAATTCATATTAGTCGATCCACTGAACTGAAAGCCAGTGCAAACTGAAAAACCAAAATATCGGCATCAAGTGGCATGTTTCTCTGAACACTGACAGTTAAGCCTATACATTACCATATCTCTTATGTTCTTTGTTCAGCTCTTAAAAGCATCAAAACAAAACTAGTCTTATTTCCAATCCTTACCTCCAAATAAAAAATAATAATAATTTAAAAAAAAACTAGTCTGTCAACCCAATTTAACTATGTAACCGACAGTGAGTTTTATACCTAACGCAACTTGGTCTGGAGGGAAATGGTCTCACCTGGACTTTCTTTTCTGCTGACCATATATTAATATCAAGACTTTCACCACAGTCACTAGTCTGACAGTGAGTAGAAGCCACTGAGAAGAAAGGGCATACCTGAGAGAGTTTCAAGGGAATGGTCTCCAGCTGAATATCACAATCAATACGGGGACTGTGCCGAGACCGCAGGGGCTTCTTGGAGCAGTTTCTCTTCAAAAGAGCAGATGCAAAAACAGGCTCCAGGACGTAGTGATGGCTGCGACTCTCCATGCTTTTGGCCATGGCCTCCTGTGTGTTACAAGAACACCTGCACTGCTCACAATGGCTTTCCTTCTGGTAATCACTCTTTTATAATGTTGGGATTACATGACAAACGGTGGGGCTCAGCCATAGGCTCTGTCACGGCAGCAAATATTTTCATCTGTTTTGACTTTATTCAGTTTTATTCTTTTTATATGGAGACAGGATCTCACTAGATTGCCCTGTCTGGTCTTGAACCCCTAGGCTCAAGTGATACTCCTGCCTCAGCGTCCTAAAGTGCTGAGATTAGAGGCATGAGTCACGGTGTCTGGCAAATGTTTTTAGGATCAATTACAAGTTGATTTGTTATCTAATCAACAGTGTATTACATCAGAATCCAAAAACAGTATAAAACTGGGTTATAAAGCTCTCTAATATTTTTAATTTTTTGTTTATATTTCTTAATAGGTAATACAGTCACATGTTAAAATTTGAAAGGCAAAAAAAAGGTGAAATATCTCCTTCCTGGTCTCATCCCCCAGCCACCCACTTACCTCCTCAGAGGCAACTAAAGACACCAGCTTCTTACGTCTCCCGCCCAAGCCATATGTACATATGCAGATAAATCTATAATATTCTTTTCTTTTATTTTTTTTAAGATGGGGTTTTACCATGATGGCCAGGCTGGTCTTGAACTCCTGACCTCAGGTGATCCACCCACCTTGGCCTCACAAAGTGCTAGGATTACAGGCGTGAGCCCCCACGCCTGGCCCTAATTTTCTATTTTCTTACACAAATGCTGTATATGCTGTTTTTACCTTAGTTTCACTTTATACTATACCTTAGAGACTATTACATACTCATCATAAGAGTCTTTACCTTTATTATTTATAACTGCATATTGTTTTACTGTATGAATACAGTGTTTACGTAACTGAATAAAAACAAAAACCGGCCAGGTGCAGTAGCTCACACCTGTAATCCCAGCACTTTGGCAGGCCAAGGCAGGTGGATCACCTGAGGTCAGACGTTTGAGACCAGCCTGGTCAACATGGTGAAACCCTGTCTCTACTAAAAATACAAAAATTAACTTGGCATGACTACATGCACCTGTAATCCCAGCTACTCAGGAGGCTGAGGCAGAAGAATTGCTTGAACCCAGGAGGCAGAGGTTGCAGTGAGCCAAGATGGTGCCAATGCACTCCAGCCTGGGCGAGAGAGCAAGATGCCATCTCAAAAAAAAAAGAAGAAGAAGAAAATTTAAAAAACATCATGTACAACAGTATGGAAGTGAAAGATAACCCAGAGTCGAGGAAACAAATGAGTTATTGTCCCCCATTTCTCCTAAACCACCTATAATTATTTACAGAAGGATTAAACTGGCTGGGCATGATGGCTCACACCTGTAATCCCAGCTCTTTGGGAGGCCAACACAGGCGGATCACTTGAGGTCAGGAGTTCGAGACCAGACTGACCTGGCCAACATGGTGAAACCCCATCTCTACTAAAAATACAAACATTAGCTGGGCATGGTGGCAGGCACCTATAACCCCAGCTATTGCTTGCATCTAGGAGGCAGAGACACTGCAGTGAGCCAAGATCGCACCACTGCACTCCAGGCTGGGTGACAGGGCGAGACTCCATCTCAAAAAAATATAATAATAATTAAACTGAGATTTTTTTTTTAATCCTTCACAAACAATAATACTTTATAGCTAATGATTTATGACTTTTTAAATATCGCTTAAGGTTTTGCCACCAAAGGTGAAGTTTAAACATAAATGCAATAAGAAAGCTCCTCTTTAAGAATCAGTCCTGGTACTTTGCTCATTTAAAATCTGGATGCCTAGGCCAGGTGTGGGGGCTCACGCCTATAATCCCAGCACTTTGGGAGGCCAAAGAGGGAGGACTGCTTGAGCACAAGAGTTTGAGACCAGCCTGGACAACAAAGTGAGACTTCATCTCTACAAAAATAAATAAATAAATAAATAAATAAGTGATGGAAAAAAAATCTAGATGCATAACTATCTTACATACACATGTAAAAAGTGGAATATGATGCAGTAGTCAGAGCAATGAATTGAAAGTACAAACAGCAACATCTTAAAACATAGCCTTAACTGAGTAACATAAACCGAAGAAACCTATAGTCTAGTATTAATTTAACACAGAAAGCACTCCATATTGTTCAAAGTCACATACATAACAAGTGCCTCAAGCAAACACCCTTGGGAGTGAATGCCTTTAGAGGAAGAGTGGGTGGGAATGGGAATCAGAGATGCAGGAGCCAAAAGCCTCAATGGCAGTGACCCTACACCACTTTCTTTCCATGGTGTCTTGCAACAAGCCCCCTGCCGGAATCATACCTGTAACTCCACCTGAGGCAAATCTCCCAGTAAAGTGCAATCAACATCCCAATAGATGCTAAATTCAGCTACGTCTAACTGCTTTTTCCGCATTAGTTTCTGTACCTAAAGTAAGAAAGACAAAGAAGAAAATAGGATGATTGTCTTTATTCGTGAATGTCTTTCATTCAGCAAACCATTTGTAAAGAATCCTGTGTCAGGTACTTTGGGAGGTGCCGGGAATATATAACGCAATTAAAACATGGTTCTGCTCTTACAAAATCTAGCTAACTGGGGATACAAACATGCAAATACATAATTTTAATGACAGAGAGGGAAGCAGAAGAAGAATCTATACAATGCTACAAGCAAACAAGAAAATGTCACTGGGCAGATGAATGTCAAAAGATGTGTAAGTTTCAGGCAAATGGTGGGGGAGGAGGAAAGGGCTGGGTCAACTATACAATACTCCCTTGGTATCCACAGGGGGTTGGTTCCAGGAACTCCACAAAAATACAAAAATCTGCAAATGCTCAAGTCTCTTACATAAAATGGCAAAGTATTTGCATATAACTTACCCATATATCCTCCCTGCATACTTTAAAATCATCTTTAGATTACTTGTAATACCTAATACAATGTAAAGCTATGTAAATCGTTGTTATACTGAATTTTCTTTTTTGAGATAAAGTTTCACTCTTGTTGCCCAGGCTGGAGTGTAATGGTGTGATGTCAGCTCACTGCAACCACCGCCACCCGGGTTCAAGCGATTCTCCTGCCTCAGCCTCCCGAGTAGCTGGGATTACAGGCATGCGACACCACACCTGGCTAATTTTTGTATTTTTAGTAGAGACGGGGTTTCTCCATGTTGATCAGGCTAGTCTCAAACTGACCTCAGGTGATCCACCCACCTCAGACTTCGGAAGTGCTGGGATTACAGGCGTGAGCCACCGCACTCAGCCCTGAAAATTTTTTATTTGTATAATTTTTTGTTGTTGTCTTTGCAGATGTATTCAAATTACATTAGTGGACGCCCTAATCTAATGAGTATTGTCCTTACAAGAAGGAAAAAGACACGAGGAGAAGGCCATGTGAAGATGGAGGCAGAGGCTACGTGAAGCACCTGCCAGCGGAGGAACCTCAATGACTGCCAGCAGCCACTAGACAAGCAGAGACACCTGGAACAGTTTCTCCCTCAGAGCCTCCAGGAGGGACTGATCCTGCCACAACCCCATGACTTCAGACCTCTCATCCAGAGAATAAATGTACGTTGTTTTAAGCCATCTGGTTTATGGCAATGTGTTAGGGCTGCCCTAGTTATCAAATTCATTAGGAAAGGAAGCGTATGCCATGCTAAGGTGTTTGGATTTCAGGCCTTAAGTGATGGGGAGCTGCTGAACGTTCTGATGCAGGCAGATACCATGATCAGGAATGTGTTTCAGAAAAAGAGGTCTGGTGACAGTGTAAAGTAGGGCTTTCCCTTCAGAGTGCCAGAAAAAATGAGTTATGAGTGTCTCAAGTATGAGCAAGTATATGGGATCAAGTTACATTTTAGAAACATTTGGTTACTCTGAGCTAGCCAATTCCAGCCCCAAGCAGTCATAGCCATTTGCCCCAGTGTACTGTACAAATACTATCTTTTTACTATGTGTGTCCTGACAATGAAAAGACTGGGAAGCATTGGTATAGGACAAACAGAAAGATCCTGGAGATCACAGAACAGGATATTCATTAGCCCAGGTAAAATCTCACAGCATCCTGCAGGGTGACAGTTATATGAGGATGGACAAGAGGAGCTACCTTTGTGAAGAACTGGATATGGACATTGAAGCATAAGAAGTGAAGGGAAAAGCACACACAGCTTCTAGAGATCAGTGTGGCAGGTAGGAGCACACGCTGAGGAGCAGGGATGGCACACTCTTCTGTAAAGAGCCAGAGTCAACAGCTTAGGCTCTGCAGGCCACGCAGTCTTCACTGCAACTATAGTACTCCATCTTGGACAACGCTAATTAGCATGGCTTGGATAGAATAAACCTTCCTTACAAAAACAGGTGGGAAGCCAGATTTGGCCAGAGGCCATAGTTTGCCAAGCCCTAATTTAGAGCTGGTCCACCTGGGTTCAACTTTTCACTTCCCCTCTTGTGCCATAGTGTTCTCAGTAGGGTTATTAGGATAACAGCAGTGGGGAAAATCAAGGAGAATTAAAGCAGTTAAATCATATAAAGTGCTAAGAACAGTGCCTGGCACATAAAAGGGCTCAAAACTGTTAGTTATCATTGGTTTTTACATTCAATAACATGTCAGAGAATAAAGAAAAATACAAATACTTTGGGGGCAAAATGGACAGATGAAATACATGAGATCAGTCTAGTGGCATAACATAAAATATATTTGGACTTTGTCCCTGGTTCCTGGCACAGAGTTCCTAAAACGAAGTTCCTGACAGGAGTGTCACTGTTGTTCATAAAAAGCCTCATTATCACACCTCAGTATATGCTAATTAAGTGACTTTCGACTGGGTCCCTAGACAGCCTCACGATGGAGCTGGTCACAGAAAGATCAAGTAATTAGAGGGTTGGGCCTTTCAGTGCCACTTGCTGACCTCTGGGTGGTGGGGCTGGAGATTGAGCTGCATAAAAACTTTGAACCATGAGATGTGCTGAGCTTCCAGGGTGCTGAACACTGGAGGGGGCGTGCCCCTCTTCATCTAGATATTCACCTGTATCCTTCACAACATCCTTTATCATAAACAGAAAGTGTAAATGAAGTGTTTCCCTGAGTTCTGTGAGCCATCCTAACAAATTACCAAACCTGAGGAGGGGGACTGTGGGAACTGCAACTTCTAGTCAGAAGCACAGGTCACAACCTTGGCCTTGCAACTGACATCTGAAGTCGGGGACAGTCCTGTGGGACAAGATCTTACGTGGCGGGGTCTGCAGTAACCCATTAGTGTCAGAATTGAGTTAAACTACAAGACACTGAGTTGATATGTGATGGAGAATTGCTTGGTGTGTGGGGGAAAACCCTCACATATCTGGTTATCAAAAATGTTTTGTGTAGAGTGTAAAGAAACAGAGTGTGTTTTGAGACAAGTAGTAGTTTTAAGAAAACCACAAATATGAAAGTCAAAGGGTAGAGAATGAAGTTCAAGATGTGGAAGCCATCATCAAATATTCCCAGGTGGTAGCTACTACTATGAAACAGAGTGAGTTTACCCAGAGAGTGTACATAACATGAGAAGAAAATCAAGGATAAAATCCCTTCTGCCCTCAGTTTCTTAGTGTATAAAATGAAAATAATATATATTACCAAAGATCAGATAAATTACCGGTTTCCCTATTTCACAAACTTGATTTGTTGCAAACACACAAGAGACACCCATGTGTACCACAGAAGGCAATAGAAAAGAATGCAATTCATTTACATAACACAAAATGTCAAAAGGCAGAGCCCTGAATTCCTAAAGCATGGATTTCTTCCTGCTTTGTAGTCACATTTCATACTCACAGGCTCATTCACAGCATTTTGCATGGACACATTCTTAATGCAGATGCCAAATGCAAAAGGATGGGATGGATTGGTGATACCATCTTCAAAGCGTAAATGGACATCTTGAATTTTTAACTGCAAAGAGAAAAAAGAAAAAGCAACTGATGTACCTGCAGAACGGTGTTGCAAAGAAAAGAAAAAGCATTTTGATAACTGCTGTAGGGTAAAATACTATAGGTAGGGGTCAAACGGCCCTTGAGCCCTTGTGCCACTAAAGAAAATCACAGCAGGCCCATTAAACAAACACATCACACACATATCCAGCATTCAGTAAGTTCCTATGAGAGGTACAATCACAAACGGCACATGAATAACATTACTTTGTGATTAGTTTTTCAAAAGAGCTGCAATACCTCCATTAAATCATTTTGGAAGATACCTTTAAAAAGCAATTAAAGAAATGCCACTGTATACAGACAATTGTTCCTCCTGCTCTGTTGATATCTTCATCTTGCCTCTATGTCCCCACATCTGGACCAAGAAAACCAGCAAGGCACATAAACTTTGCATGTATGTACGTATGTATGTATTTATTTCCCCTAGCACCTCCCTGAAAGTGGGCTACAGAAAAGGCACTCTGCTTCAATGAATTAAAAAATAATAATGAAATATCTTACCAATAAGTGCAGAGTAGTTAAGAAAAAAAGAAAAATAATAATAATAATGGGCTGGGCACAGTGGTTCAATGCCTGTAATCCCAGCACTTTGGGAAGCTGAGGCAGGGGTATTACTTGAACCCAAGAGTTGGAGACCAGTCTGGGAAACATAGCAAGATCTCGTTTCTACTAAAAACTTTTAAAAATTAGGTATGGTGTCACAAGCCTAGAGTTTCAGCTACTCAGGAGGCTGAGGCAGGAGGATTGTGTAAGCCCAAGAGGAGGAGGCTGCAGCAAGCTATAATGGCGCCACTGAACTCCAGCCTAGGCAACAGAGTGAGATTATGTCTCAATAATAATAATAACAGAAAGTAAAAAGACAATCCAGAGAATGCAAGAAAGTATTTGCAAATCTGATAAGGATCTCGTATTCGGAATACGTAGAGAGCTCTTATAACTCAACAATAAAAAGATAAACTGATTTGTAAAATAGGCAAAGGCTGGCATGTCCAGGCATGGTGGATCACGCCTATAATCCCAGCGCTTTTGGTGGCCAAGGAAGCTGGATCACCTGAGGTCAGGGGTTTGAGACCAGACTGGCCAACATTGTGAAGGTGCATCGCTACTAAAAATACAAAAATTAGCCAGGCATGGTGGCACACGCCTGTACTCCTAGCTCCTCGGTAGGCTGAGGCAGGAGAATTGCTTGAACCCAGGAGGCAGAAGCTGAGATTGCACCACTGCACTCCAGCCTGGGTGACAGAGAAAGACTTGGTGTCAAAAAAAAAAAAAAAAAAATGGTGGCAAATGATTCAAATAGATATTTCTCCAAAAAAAAAGATATACAAGTGGCCAGAAAATATACGGAAAAATATTCAGTATCATTAGCTATTAAGAAAATGCAAATCAAAACCACAGCAAGATCATTTCACACCTACTAGTACATAATCAATAATAAACATTTGCTTTTTGGGTTTTTTTTTTTTTTTGCTTTTTTTTCTTTCTGTTCTGAATGGCATTAGAACATTATCTCAAGGAACAATCCAAGATGGCCAATCAATAACAGCTCGGGATTGCAGCTCTCAGTCAAAGCGCAGAGAACCAGAGGACGCCACACTTTCAGACAAATTCTGGTCACTCACGGAGCAGAAGATCCCCAGTGGAGGACCCACACGGGCTGCCAGCACAACTCTTGTGGCTGGCGCAGCGGTTTCGCTGGCACCTCGGCGTGGCAGCTCTCGGAGCAGAGTAAACAGGGCCGGCTCCCCTTCTGACTGAGGTTTAGAGGACCGACACGGGTCCCCAGCACGACTTCTGAGACCTGCACAGCGGCTGTGACAGCACCTCAGCGCGGCAGCTCTCAGCGCAGAGTAAACGAGACTGGTTCCCCTTCTGACCGAGGTTTGGAGCCCCGGGAAGGCAGAGTCACCCATTACGGACACAAGAAGGAAGCCAGACAGGAGAATCCTGGGCAGAAAAGCACCACCAGTCTTAACGCTGCCATTCTGGCCCTGGGAACTAACCACTTGGATGTCCAATCAAGAGACCTAATCTGAAAGTTGGTAATTTCAAAGATGACAGGAGGATAAATTTACAATGATGGGAAGAAACCAGCGTAAAAAGGCTGAGAATACTCAAAATCAGAACGCTTCTCCCTCTAAAGATGATCACAGTTCCACATCAACAATGGAACAAGGCTTGATGGAGAACGAGCGCATCACAATAACAGAATCATGCTTCAGGGAATGGATAATAAGAAACTTCTGTGAGTTAAAAGAACATGTTGTAGCCCAATGTAAAGAAACTAGGAACTTTGAAAAAAGGTTTGACGAAATCCTATTGAAAATAGACAACTTAGAGAGGAATATAAGTGAATTAATGGAACTGAAGAATACAGGAACTCCGAGAAGTATGCACAGGTTTAAACACTCGAATTGTTCAAGCAGAAGAAGGGATATCAGAGGTCAAAGTCCAACTTAATGAAAGAAAACAAGAAGACAAGATTAGAGATAAAAGGATAAAAAAGAATGAGCAAAGTCTCCAAGAAATGTGGGACTATGTAAAAGACCAAATTTACATTTGATAGGTGTACCTGAATGCAACGGAGAGAATGAATCCAAGCTGGAAAATACCCTTCAGGATATTATTCAGGAAAATTTTTCTGAACTAGCAAAGCAGGTCAATACTCAACCCCAGGTAATACAGAGAACACCACAAAGATATTCCTCAAGAAGAGCAACCCCAAGGCACATAATCGTTAGATTCACCAGGGTTGAAACGAAGGAGAAAATACTAAGGGCAGCCAGAGAGAAAGGTCAGTTACCCACAAAGGCAAGCCTATCAGACTTACAGCAGATCTCTCAGCAGAAACTCTACAAGCCAGAAGAGAGTGGGGACCCATATTCAACATCCTCAAAGAACAGAACCTTCAGCCCAGAATTTCATATCCAGCCAAACTAAGCTTCACAACTGAAGGAAAAATAAAATCTTTTATGAACAAGCAAGTACTCAGAGATTTTATTACCACCAGGCCTGCTTTACAAGAGCTTCTGAAAGAGGCATTACACACACAAAGAAACAACCAGTATTAGCCTTACTAAAAATATACCGAAAAGTAAAGAGCACCAACATAAAGAAGAATTTTCATCAACAAATGGATCAAACAGCCAGTTAACATCAAATGGCAGTAACCCTAAATATAAATCGACTAAATCCCCCAATCAAAAGACACAGCCAAAACCCAACGGCATGTTACATCCAGACCTGTTTCACATGCAAGGATACACAAAGACTCAAAACAATGGAATGGAGAAAGATTTACCAACCAAATGGAGAGGAAAAATAAATAAATAAATAAAAAGCAGGAGTTGCAATTCTCATAGCGGATAAAATAGATTTTAAAGCAACAAAGATATAGTGGTAAAAGGATCAATACAACAACAAGAGCTAACGATCCTAACACCCAGATACAAAGAGACTTAGATTCAGTGAGACAGAAAATTAATAAGGATATCAAGGACTCGAACTCAGATCCAGAACAAGTAAACTTAATAAATATTTATAGAGCTCTCCACTTCAAATACACAAAATATACATTCTTGTCAATACCACATCACACCTACTCATAGGTTTAAATGAAACATTGGCCATTATTAATACCCATTTTTTTTTCAGAATAAAGCAATATTTCCGTTCACCCTCCCTCTCTCTCTTCTTCTTTCTTTCTCTCCTTTACTCATTATTTTTTTCTTTCCTTCTCTCGAAAAAAGAAATCAACTTGTAAACCTCTAGATCCAGGTCGGCAATGTCTCTCTCATTGCTTGAATTCCTTCCTTCTCTTCCCTTCCCTTCCCTTCCCTCCCTCTCTCCCTCCCTCCCTCCCCCCCTTCTTCCCTTCCTTCCTCCCTCCCTTCCTCCTTCCCTCCCTTCCTGCCTTCCTCCCTTCCTCCTTCCCTCCCTAAAAAAAAAATTAATTAAAAAAAAAAAAGAACATTATCTCACCATTTCTGCAGACTTTTTTTTTTTGAGATGGAGTCTCACTCTGTCACCCAGGCTGGAGTGCAATGGTACAATCTTGGCTCACTGTAACCTCTGCCTCCTAGGTTCAAGGGGTTCTCCTGCCTCATTCTCCCCACTGAGTAGCTGGGACTACAGGCAGGCACCACCATGCCTACCTAATTTTGTACTTTTAGTAGAGACAGGGTTTCGCCATGTTGGCCAGGCTGGTCTCGAACTCCTGACCTCAAGTGATTCACTGCTTCAGCCTCCCAAAGTGCTGAGATTACAGGCATGAGCCACCGCGCCTGGCCCCATAATCAATAGTAAGTGTTGACGAGGACATGGAGAAACAAAATGCTCATACATTGCTGGTGATATTGTAAAACAGTGCAGCCTCTTTGGAAAAAGGTTTCATAGTTCATCAAAAAAGTAATAGAGTTACTCCATAATTCGGCAATTCTACTCTGAAATATATATTTGAGACAACTGAAAACATGTTCACCCAAAACCCTATACACAAATGTTTACAGCAATATATTCACAATAGCAAAAAGGAGAAACAACCTAAATGTCCAGCAACTCATGAATGAATAAACAAAATGTCATATGTCCTGAGTAAAGCAAGACTCTCGGCAAGAACACTCCATTCAAAAGAGGCTTGACCAAACTTTAACATGGCTTCTGGCAGCCTGAGGCCATATCCCTGGGGACAACACAGTCTCCTTTTGCTTGCCTGGTAAACCTCAGGACTGTCAAAAGTAACATACCCTGCCAGGCACAGTGGCTCACACCTATAATCCCAGCACTTTGGGAGGCCAAGGCAGGCAGATTACCTGAGATCAGGAGTTCAAGACCAGCCTGGCCAATGTGGTGAAATCCCGTCTTAAAAAAAGAACATACCCTTTGTTCCAGCCAACACCTGACTTAGGCCCCTGACATCCCTGTCTTATAGCACATTTACTGAAGAGGGCTTTTAGGGTGGGCACAGTGGCTCATGCCCTTAATCCCAGTACTTTGGGCCAGGGGGCAGATATCTAAGGTCAGGAGTTTGAGACCAGTCTGACCAACGTGTCAAAACCCTCTCTCTACTAAAAACACAAAAATTAGCTGGGCGGAGTGGTGCATGCCTAAAATCCCAGATACTCGGGAGGCTGAAGCAAAAGAATCACTTGAACCCGGGAGGAAGAAATTGCAGTGAGCCGAGATCACACCACCGAACTCTAGCCTTGGCAACAGAGCAAGTCAACTGTGACTTGTTTCTTTGAGAGATGTATATGCAGAGGTCGAGTATCCCTTACCTGAAAGGCTTGAGACAGAAAGTGTTTTGGATTTCACTTTTGGGTACTTGAAAGGCTTGAGACAAAAAGTGTTTTGGATTTCATTTTTGGGGGGATTTTGAAATATATGCATTATACTTAACCAGCTAAGTCTCCCAAATCCAAAACGCTCCAATGAGCATTTCCTTTGAGTATCATGTGGGCTCTCAAAAAGTTTCAGACTTTGGAGATTTCGGATTTTCAGATTTGGGATGCTCGACCTGAATCTCCTACAGCTCAGGAGTGTCTTTCTCAAGGACCTGAAAGCTATTCCTTTGAAATGTAATCATCAGGAAGGGTAGGGTCTCAATCTCCTAGTCTGAGGGAGGACAGAATACTAACTTTGATCACTGCCAGCGAGCAGACACAGCTAGCCTCCTGACATTCACACCGATCAATACCTTGTCATTTTTTACTTGAGTACCCACTCATGCCACCTCCCTGTACTCTCAAACCCCCTTTAAAAGTCCCAGCTACCTCTGCACAGTCAGATTGGAGCTCAGCTCTTTCCACTACTATCAGTAGTTATTGAGGAAAATCTGTTTTTATTGCTCTAAGGTCTGGCTCTGTTTAATCTTCTGACAATCCATACAGTGGAATATATGATTCAGTCAGAAAAAGGAATGAAGAGCTGATACATGCCACAACACAGACGACCCTTGAAAACATGTCAGATGTGTTTGGAAAACTCTGCCCCTACCGCAAAAGCTCTCTCTTTCCCTCCCCCACAAAGAGGCTCCCTTATCTCTCACTTTACATACCGGCCCTAGCCCTCCTGCCGCCCAGCAGTTCAAACTGACCCACAGTTGCCCACCACCTCGGCTTTTGGCTTCCCCACCCCCAGCCCTTCAGCCCCCTATAAAACAACCCTGCCCCTTTGGGTGGCGCGGTCATTCTCCTCTTCCTCCCGGCTGGTCCGCCCGGAGGCTCTTTCCTCTCAATAAAGCCTGAACTTAAGGAATTTCCTCTAGCCTGCGGTACGGTTTTTTCCGAACGAGCTCAGTCTTCCCGCAGAGGGTAGGTCGGACAAATGGTGCCGAAACCCAGGACAGGAGATGGGGCCGTTGACCCGGCCACGGCCCCCCTCCCCGACCTACCCAACACTGGCCCTGCCACCTCCACGTTCCGATTAAGGTAAGCCAAGTTTTTATTCCCAAACCCTCAGAAAGAAAAAGCTTATTTTCCTGTCCCAGGTGGCTTGGCCCCAATACAAACTCAGTAACCAGTCACATTGGCCCCCGACTGGCACTTTTGATTTCAACACCCTCCGAGATCTTGACGATTTTTGTCGCCGCGCAGGCAAGGACAATGAAATTCCTTACATCCAGGCTTTTTGGGACCTCCGTACCCACCCCGACTTATGTTCTTCCTGCTCCACCTACCAAATCCTCTTATCTCGAACCCCCCGTAAATCTTCCTCCACTACCTCTCCCCCTCCCTACTCCTCACCGGAGGATCTGCCTGAACATCTGTCCTCTCCTGCCAATCTCAGCAACCACTCGCCATCAACGGCACGCCCTTCCCCCACTCCCTCTGCACCTCCTACCTCAGAGGCCATGCCTCGCTCTCCCTCTACTCCCTCCGAGCCCCCTCCCTCAGAGGCCGCACTTCCTCTTGCCTCTCCGGTGGCGGCCCACACCCGCTCCCACCAGCCAGCTATCCTGGCCCCACTCCGAGAAGTAGCAGGCGTGGAAGGTTTAGTCAGGGTCCATGTTCCTTTCTCACTTCAAGAACTGTCCCAAATTGAGAGACGTTTAGGATCCTTCTCAGCCGACCCGTCCACCTATATTAAGGAATTCCAATACCTCACTCAAGCCTACAGCCTCACTTGGCATGATATTCACGTTGTCTGTTCCTCCACCCTCACAGTGGAGGAGCACGAGCGCATCCTCGCTGCAGCCAGAAACCAAGCAGATAAAGACCATGCTATAGATAACCAGATCCCCCTAGGCCCCGAAGTAATCCCAGGTGAAGACCCCCAATGGGACTATCAGGCTAATCGAGGGTCTGATATACCCAAGAGGGACCGCATGATTAGATACCTCCTCAGGGGAATGGATGCTGTATCTAACAAAGTTGTAAACTATGATAAACTGAGAGAAATCACCCAACTACCTGATGAGAACCCCACCCTCTTTCTTGCCCGCTTGCAAGAAGCCCTAGTCTGGTATACTTGGCTAGATCCAGCCTCCCAGAACGGGGCCACTGTATTAGCCTCCCATTTTATCTCCCAATCAGCACCCGACATAAGAAAGAAACTAAAGAAAGCAGAAGAGGGGCCAGAGACTCCCATCCAAGACCTGGTAAAAATGGCCTTTAAAGTATTCAATGCCAGGGAAGATGCAGCTGAGGCTGCCCGCCAAACTCACATGAAGCAGAAGGCTGACCTCCAGACCCAAGCCCTAGTGGCGGCTCTAAGGCCGGCAGGGAACCAGAAGCCCAAGGCCGAAACCCATGCCCCTCCAGGGGCATGTTTCAAATGTGGAAAGGAAGGACACTGGTCCCGAGCCTGTCCACAACCACGGCCACCAACTAAGCCTTGCCCTATCTGTCAGCTCCCGGGACACTGGAAGTCAGACTGCCCCAGCTTCCCCAGGGTGCCGGTTCCTCAAAACAGACACACTGGCGTTATGCAGCCGGCGGTCACCCTCAGTAGGGAGGAGCCTGCTTGCCAGGAGCCGACCTCCGAGGGAACTCCATTCCCCAGTCTATTAGGGCTGCTATACGACTAGTGGGGCCCTGGCCTACTGACTCCGGTTACCCTCGCCGAGCCAAGGGTCAAAATTCAGGTAGCGGGTAAAAGTGTCTCGTTCTTGCTCGACACGGGGGCTACCTACTCCGCACTTCCTTCTTATTCTGGCCGTCTCACCCCTTCCCAGGTCTCGCTCATGGGAATCGATGGGACCCCGAATATCCCCTACCAAACCCCACCACTCATGTGCTCATATAACTCCACTCCCTTCACCCACTCCTTTTTAGTAATCCCCACCTGCCCAGTTCCCCTTCTGGGGCGAGACTTCCTTTCAAAGCTGAAGGCCGTCATAACCTTCCCGTCCGCCAACCCACACAGTCTCTTTCTCCTAGCCCTCACCTCAGACACTGAACCCCAAAAAGCCCTGTCAGAACTACTCCCCGGAGTCCACCCTCAGGTCTGGGACATTAACAACCCATCTGTAGCTATACACCACCAGCCAGTTCAAGTCCGCCTTAAAGACTCCTCGCCTCATTTTCTCTGCCGCCCCCAATTTCCCATCTCTAAAGCCCACCGTATGGGTATCTGACCCATCATAGAGAAACTAAAAGGTCAAGGCCTCCTAATTCCCATTAACTCCCCATGTAATACCCCCATCCTCCCAGTACGAAAACCCTCAGGACAACATAGACTAGTCCAGGACTTGCGCTTAGTCAATGAA